CTTGAACTCTCTTTATTGAATTAATTGTTGTTGGTAGGTTGAATCTACCTTTGGTGGAAGTGTTATATCTTGTTCTTGTGTGGTATTATTGTGAATTGTAGCCATGAAGGCATTGGGGAAGTTGTTGCATAATGTTGGAATATTTTATTATTGTGAATTGAGGCCATGAAGGGCATTATGTGAATGTTATTATATTGTTGTATTATTATACATATATGAGGCTATATGTAAAGTCCTATATGAAGCTATATGTAAAGTTTTATGTGACGCTATATGTGAAGGTATGATGTGAATGAGTTTTATGTGATCTTGTGATGATCCTATGTAAAGTGGATAGCATTGTGAGTTAAAGTATGATTTCTCATGATGTATATATGAAATGATGTTGGATTATGAAGTATCCTTAAATGAAAATGTGTGTCTTGAATTGGTAGACTTAGGTGCCTCTTCTTGATACATGAAAGCTATGGAATGTGATCTCTTGACTTGGTAGGCTTAGGCATCCTTCTCTTGAGAAATGAATGTATCTTGACTTGAAGTCTTATTGTATTGAAGTGGTAGACCTTGAGTTGGTGCCTCTTCATAAATGAATGAATGTCTAGAATCGGTGAGACCTAAGCATGGTGCCCTTTCTATGAATGACTAAAGGGGGAATTTTTAGACTATGAGTTGAACCGGTAGATCTAAAGTTGGTGCCCCTTCATGATGAAGTCTAGAACCCTATGTGAATGTAAAACCATGGAGTCGGTAGACCTAATGGTGGCAGCCCTTCTCATGTGTGAAATGATGAACCTTGGACCGGTAGGCTTAAGGCACCCTTTAATGAAGAATCGGTAGGCCTAAGGCACCCTTCCATGGGGATTTAATAAGCTATCCTTAGTGAACCTTGATCGGTAGATCCTTGTGGTGCCTTTTCTTGGTAGATGTGTTATGGGTCGGTAGACCTAATGATGGTGCCCTCCCTAGGACATACATGTGAATGAAATTACTCTATGGGAACTAAGGCTAAGCACCGAGTGGATATGGTTAAGATGGTAGCTCTCCCGAGTATGAGGCAAGAGTACAAAGAACATCTTTGGATATCCCCTAAACCATGTGCCTACATGGGTTGCTTACTAGTTCTACCTTTGGCAAGTAGAACAACCTCCACGGAGTAGGATAGACTCCGGATTCCATACCTAGCTAGTATGGTCTATGTCGGTTATGCCTATTCCCATCATGTGGGATGTGCACTCTAGTTATTGGATAGGTTCTACAACGTGTAGGTAGCAGTATGGGATGCTATCTATACATGGCACGAGTAGGCTTTGAAGATACTAAAGTGAGTTCCCTAAGTCTAACAACTATTATGTGAAAGTTCCCTTATGTGCCTGAATGTCTCCAAAATGGTTTCTTAAAGAATATTGGTCTATTGATGTTATGTTGTAAAGGAAATGTCCTTATCTAAGGTAATCTTGGGGAACACTTAAGTGTGCTTGAAGAGGTTGTATGGGCGGTCACTTCTTGTCTCACTCAAGTGTGTCTTAAGGTTATATTAGGTAGAGGTCTTATGGTAATGAAATGACATGTGTTCTTTTAAAGTTAAGCATGGGTTGTATATGGACATATGTTGAGTATATGTATGGTTGGCTATGGTCTTATAGGTTAATGTTGACTTGTATTATGTCTCTTATACTTGTAAAGGAAAGGTTTTATCAAATGATATGCAAGCATTACTTCCTTGAAAATGTCCTTTTTGACATGTTTTTACATGATCTCCATACTTGGTACTTAATTGTGTTAACCCCTTTCTTTCCCTTTTTGAACTAAAGTGTAGGGATTTGGAGATGATGACATGTCATGGCTTTGATAGGTTTCTAAGTGTTGAAGATGAAGACTTGGTGAGTCCTGATAGATTCGAGGACAACACCCAATATGTTATTTTATGTTCTTTTTAGTATTGTTTAAGTTGTGTACGGGATTAGTCCCGAATTTTGTACTCTAAAGTATTAGATGGTTTTGAGACATCATGTATAAAGTCTAGAAAGTCTTCCGCTTGCTATTTTTTTTATGCAATGTTTTCTTGGTAAAGAAAGTTTTAAATTCCTTATGGTTTTAGTGTCTATGCGATGAATGAATGCTAAGAGGCTTGTATTAGACCTCTTCGAGGTCGAGTACGCCGGTTACGACTAGGGGGTGCTCCCGGGTCGTGACATCCTTGAGACAGTATTTTGTTTTTTTTATTTCCAGGAAATAAGTGATTCTCCATGCTTTACCAAGAATCCTGTCACATACTTTCTGGTATTAGGGCATGATGCCCAATCAGCATCACAGAATGCTGTCAATGTGTTGTCTCCACTGCTGCTCATTAAAATTCCCATTCTAGGCTCCCTCTTATTGTATTTGACTACTCTTAAGGCTACTTCCCAATGAGATTTTTTTGGTTGTTGCATGAACTGGCTAAGAGTCGGAACTGCAAATGCTATATCCAACCTAGTAAGTGTCAAATATAAGAGCTTCCTAATCAGTTTCTGATATTTTCCCTTATCCTCTAAGGGCTCATCATCACTTATTCCTGTGAGTTCATCTAGTTCCTTTGTTGTGAATTTCTGGTTGAACTCCAAAGGTGTCCAGGCTAGCTTTGAACCACTCCAGCCTAAGTCTCCTATCAGCTCCAAGGCATACTTTCTTTGGTTCATTAAAATTCCTTTATGAGACCTTGAGAATTCTATTCCCAGAAAAAACTTTAACTCTCCAAGATCTTTCATTTTAAAGATATGTTGCAGACCTTCTTTAGTTGACTGAATCAGTGTCCTGTTGTTGCCTGTAACCAACATGTCATCCACATAAACTAAGATCACAACAATGTAACTTGCTATCCTTTTTGTGAACAAAGAATAGTCAAAGCAGCTCTGAGTGAAACCAAGTTGAACCAGTGCAGTGGTCAACTTCTCATTCCATTGGATACTTGCTTGTTTTAGACCATATAAGGATTTGGTAAGCCTACAAATCATACCAGGTTTCTCCCCCTGGCTTGCAAAACCTTGTGGCAAGTGCATGTAGACCTTATCATGAAGATCACCAGTAGGAAATCATTATGGACATCCATTTGTTCAATAGACCAGCCTGCAGTAGCAGCTATAGACATCACAACCCTAACAGTCATAATTTTAACCACAGGAGAAAATGTCTCATGATAGTCTAGTCCTTCAAGTTGTGTATAGCCCTTAGCCACTATCCTGTCCTTATACCTCTCTACCTCACCACTGGCATGATACTCTACTTTAAAAACCCATTTGCAGCCAGTGGGAACCTTACCTGCAGGTAAAGGAACCACCTCCCAAGTCTGATTATCCTGAAGAGCTGTGATCTCAGATTGCATGGCCTCAATCCAAAGAGGATCAGTAGCAGCCTCTTGAAATGTTTTAGGTTCAACTATAGAGGTTAAAGCAGCAAGGAAAGATCTGTAGGAAGCATGTAAAGAGGAATAGGATAGATAAGAACTAATAGGATGAAGAGTAGAAGGAGGAAGAGATGCTGAGGTAGTGATAAAGTCTGTCATCCAGGCTGGTTGTGTCTTAACTCTAGTTAAGTGCCTCAAAGATGGTGGAGGGAGTGATGGTGGAGCAGCAGGAGGAACAATAGGAGGTGGTTGGACAGGTAGAACAGGTGAGTCCAGCTCAAAAGGATCAAGAACAGCAGTATGCTGAAAAAAAGGTTCTCTTGTATCAGAGTGTGTTTGAAAAGGAAATGTGGATTTCTTGAAAACCATATCCCTGTTGACAAAAAAAGTGGAGGTAGCAATGTTCAACAATATGTAACCTTTGGAAGTTGCAGAATAACCCATCATCACAGCTTCAATGGCTCTAGCATCAAACTTATCATAGACTGGCGTCTTCTTAGCATAACAAAGACAACCTATGGTCCTGATATGATCTAGGTTGGGCTTCCTCCCATAAAACAGCTCATAGGGGCTTTTACTATTCAATATTACTGAAGGCAGTCGATTGATAAGGTATGCAGCACCAAGAACACAATGACCCCAGTACCTGATTGGAATGCTTCCCTGAAATCTCAGACCTCTAGCCATTTCCAGAATGTGTCTATGATTCCTCTCAGCTACACCATTCTGTTGAGGGGTGTAGACACATGTTATTTGGTGAATAATACCAAAAGAATGAAACAGACTGGAACACTCAGCATTAAAAAATTCATTGCCATTATCTGACCTGGTCACCTTGACTTTTGTATTTAATTGAGTATGAACCATTGTGAGAAATTGCCTCAACACAACTACAGTATCAGATTTCAATTTGAGCAAAAATAACCAAGTGATTCTGGAATGATCATCAACAACAGTAAGGAACATTTTATTGCCATCAAACGTGGGTACATGATAGGGACCCCATACATCAATATGTAGTAGATAAAAAATAGTTGCAGCCTTAGTAGTACTCTTAGGAAAAGGCAATCTGGTATGCTTAGCCAAGGGGAAAATAGAACAATTGTCAATCATATGCAAATTATCAAGTGAAGATAACCCAAACAATTGTCTGATTATTCGTTCAGGTGCATGTCTCATCCTTCTATGCCATAGACTAACATCTACATTATTAGTTCGTGTATGTAACCCTTTGCCTGAGAGTGATGTTCCTGTGGAAGAGCCATGAGACATTTTCTCATGTGGTTAAAATTATGACTGTTAGGGCTGTGATGTCTATAGCTACTCTGATACCATGTTAAATTAGGTTTTAGGCCTAAATCACACCCCAAAAGCTAGCTCAAAGGGAGGAGGATTGCACAAGCCTTATAAGGAGTCCACCCATCTAATTAACCACCAATGTGGGACTTTTGTCATTCTCTAACACCCCACCTCACGCCCAGTGATTAGCATCTGGTGCGTGGGCAATTTTTTATTTTGGGGACCCCACATCGGGCGAGACGGACCCTGCTCTGATACCATGATAAAATCATGAAGCTAAACTATGGAATCCATGGATAACTCTCATGAACTCTAAGTAAACATGGAAGAGAGATTGTGGAATTTACTGTTGTATTGAAGATCAAAAATTATGTTACAGATATCCATCTCACCACGGTTTATATACACTTTACATAATTGAGTACAAAAGGAATCTAATGCTAACTAACTGCCAGCTCATCTAACCGACTTAATCAAGTTGTTAACTAACCAACTATTAACATCCTAACTAACTATTTGATACATGCTCAAGTTATGCCAGTCTCAATAAAAGTACACTTGCAATTGTAGATTTAGTAGTAGAAGAAAAAAAGTCCATAAATTCAATATTTTTTTAAAATAAGAGGAAACCTACTTATAGACAATAAAGGATAGTGTGAACAGATGTTTATTGTGTCTTATTGGAAAGGTCACAACTCTTTGTAAAAGTCACAACCCTTCGAAAAAGTCACAATCTTTCATAAAAGTGACAACTCTTCATAAAAGTTGCAATTTTTCATTAAAATCGCAACTTTTCATAAAAGTCACAACTCTTTATTTTCCATTCATACCTTTTAAAACCCAACAATACATTGATACAACTCCAAGCAATTAAATACAGAGTGAAACAAGTAAAACTCAAACTCTCACTATGTATTATAACTTTTTAGTACTCTCTTTATTTCAAACATATGCATATAATTTTTCCTATATATATATAGTCCTCTATTTATCACAATTTACGCGACATTTTTCATTTGAATTGGCTGTAAAAAGAATGATATTTTTCTATATTTAATAATAATTTGACGTTAGACTTTCATTTTTTTAGTGAGACGATTTATAGCCACATGAATATATGTGACTTATTTTATATTTTAAATTTCAAATAAACTTTCTTTCATTCTTAAATTTTATACCAAATCAAATATCGTCACATAAACTGAGACAACGAGGCTACTTTAGTAACAAGACACTAAAGAAAAGAGGACATACTGTTGGACTAAACATTAAATCCGTTCACTAGAATTGGATTGATTAATTGAGAAACATTTGATTATGATCATTCCAATAGATTTATGTCAAGAAAGTATAATTCTTGCTGATACTCTGCAGTTTGATTACTAAGGTATTTTAGATATTCCTTTTGTTTTTGAAATAAAATTTTGTTGTTTATGATATAAAAAACAAAGAAAATTCAAAACCAACATTCCATACATATACTCCCTCCTTTCCTCCGTTCATCATTACTCGCTCATGTTTTAGTTGACAAACCCTTGAAAAATACTAAATAAAAGGGTAAATCTATCATATCACTTCTATTAATTATAAGTCATCTAAATGTTAAAAAATGAATAATATTTAATAACAAGGATAAAATAAATACAAAATAGTAAATTATTTCTTGTTTTTTCAAACAGAACAAATAAAGTTAGACAACAGTCACAACAATGAACAAGTAAAGATGTTGTAGAACTAGTTGTTTGTTAGAACTAAACGATTGTAACAATCTTAGCAAACAAAATGACATATTAAACCAATGAAATTTAATTATTGTATTTAACTAAACTCGCACTTAGAGTTGTCAAAAAGGGTTGGCCAAGCCCCATTGGGCCCAAGCCGCGCGGGCCAAGGAATTTGAAGGGCTGGGGTTGGCTAGCCCTTCTTTTTTTCTTTTTTCATTTTTTTTCTTTTCAAACTTATAACTCTATAACTTCAAGAAAATGAGAAGATTTTCAAATCAAATATGACAAACAATGATATTGTTTCAATAACACTAGCAAAAAATCTACTGTAATTAGTATGTATCTCGCATACCAGATACGCAAGAGAGATAAGAGAATGACAAGCAAGATGGGAGGAAAGCGAGGGCGCGAGATTTGTCTATGTATCCTAGATACATGTGAATCTACTTGAATAGAGTGTATCTTGAACAAATTAACCTAATTTTGAGTCAATATATTCCGAGATACATGTATCTGGATGTACCAAAATCTGGTAAGATTTATAATATTACAACATTGTGTGTATTTAAGTAATTAGATTATATACTAGTGAGATTATTGTAAGTTACCCTTAAGTAAAAAGTTTTGGCCCATGGGCCGACCCCGGCCCGGCCCTGATCAAGCCTCAAGGGCCAATGACTTATATTGACCGGGCTTATAAGCCCTAATTTTAAATGGGCTTGAAAAATTCTATCCCAACCCTACCCCAATAACGAATTGGGTCAGATCGGCCCCATGGGCTAAGCCTGTCTTGACAGCTCTACTCCCACTCTTTATTTTAGACTGTTAAATATGATTTAAACATGAGCAACTTTCACATATAGCAAACAAAAAAATCATATTTGTATGCTATAGCAAAGTTTGCATAATTGTGCTCCATAACAAACATATATATGTATAATTCGCTATACATATACAATTGAAAGCTATGTCTATTTTGCTATACATATATACAAAAAGAAGCAATTGTATAATT